AACATGGAGATGGTGCCTGGGCAGCTGGGAGTGTGAGGGGAAGCCTGCTCTGTGACTGGGTTCTTCTGCTTGGCCCACCCAGACCATGGGGCGGCGAGCTGGGACTGTCCCACTGACGTGTGGCTGGAGAGGGCATGGGCCACGAGGGGCTTTGTTTTTGAGGATCACAGTAAACACAGCTCTTCTGTCTGGCCAGCACATAGGGCTCTGGGGCCGCTGGCGTTGGGAGCTGCCGGGGTCTCCCAGGGCCGTGCGAGTGGCTTGCTCGTGCCAGGTGGCCTCCAGTGTGACGCGTGGTCTCGGCACTTCCCTGGACTCTGCCGTCTTGTTTCTGTTCCCGTAATTACAGCCTGTTAAACGGCAAGGGGCCTGTCTGCCCCAGCCTTGTGCAGACACTGTGAAATTAACTTCCTTGCCCTCCGACTCGCGTCAGGCTGAACTGACATTTCCAAAGGGCTCCTGGCTGGACCCCTGCTCTTGGCTCGCGTTCCTCGGCAGAGAGGAAGGGGGAGGCTGAGCCTCATGCTGGGGGGAGCTGTCAGGCCAGTGATGGAAGAAATCCCAAGCACTGTTGTCACCAGCTAAGTCGCATGCATCTCCGGGAACAGATACCGTCTGTGTCACGGTGCTTCCACCCTGTCTCTGAGCAGGACGGTCCTGCAGGCCGGGGAAGTGGCCGGGGGCCTCAGGAATGGGCAACAGGGTCTGAGAGGCAGGCCCCCTCAAGTCTCGTTACCCTGGCAGCTGGCAGGAGCATGTGGGAATTGCCTCGTTACCATGGCAACACGCCCTGCTCTCAGGGAACTCGATCCTTTCTGCCGGGCCCTGCAGTCCAGGGTGGGTGGCCAGCTGAGCCACTGGGCCCTGTGGGGGTACACTGTCTCCCACTGGAGTGGGTGTTCCTTGTCCTGAGAATTTGTCCGAGGACCTCAGGTTTTCCTGCTGTTCTGAGAGGCAGTACCCACCTGGCATTGTCTGTCCATGGCCCGGAAGAGGAGGGGCAGAGGCCAGCCCCCTACTTGCCTCGTCTTCTGAGGTCTCATGTGGCCGTCCCAGGGCAGTGGCACACGACTCTCTGGACCTTCTGGGGGTCAGCTGGACACACAGGTACTGTGGTGCACACTTGCCAGTGTAGCCCTCCCTCCTGGGAGGTGGTCCCAGGTACCCACTTCCTGGCCAGAGGGCACCAGGTGGTGGGAGTCCCCACCCAGAGAGGCCCAGGTACCCTTAGGGCCCGAAGCCACTTGTTCCGTCGGCAGAACCAATGGCCCCTGAGCAGGTCCCTACTCTCCACGACGGCCTGTGTTCCTCTTCCTGACACACTCATTTAATTTTTAACTCACAAGGCATTTGCTTATTTATTTTCATTGTTCTTGATAATAATTCTAAGCCATTAGAGGGGAAAATTATATTCAAAAATGCTGTTTCACACTTTATTTGTTTGATGATTTAGAGCGATAGAAAATAGCACATTTGCTGGCTTTTATAGTCTGATAATTATTCACATCCATCAAGCCATTCCAGGGGAATAAACAAAACACCAAGAAAATGACACTATTAATAGCATCCTCTGCTGCGGACGGGAAGACTCTCCGGCCCGCTGTCTCTGCAGGAATGCAGGCGGCCCATCTCCGGCCTGAGGCGAGAGCTGCCCGCAGAGGGCATTTCCTTTCAATTTCCCTATGTTCCTGGGCTCAAGAGCTTCCCTCCTGCTGGACTGAGGTCTCTGTCCACCAGCACCCGGGAGCCCTAGCTTCCTTACTGGACTCCAGCTTGGTTTCAGCAGGGCCCGGGGGATGCCTACCTTGCATCCAGCCTCAGTGTGTCCCTGGCCCCCCGTAAGCACGTCCAGCCCCCACACCCGTGTCACGATATGGGTCTCGGACTTGATTGCTGGCAGCCATGGCCCCAGGCCTCCCTCTCACCCTATGCCAGGTATGCGGTTTCTGCATTGCCTTTTGGGGAGTGGCTGTGATTGGGGGTGAGGGATGTGTATCCACTCCTCCAGGCCTCAGTTGTAAAAGAGGAACCTGGAGGAGAGGCTGGCAGATGTCTGCCTTGTGGTGCAGCCCGCCTGTCTCTCCGCAGACCAGGGGGCCGCTTCCTTCTAGATTATGACATCCGGGCCATGATCACCATTGTTCCCAGAAACATCTGTGCTCATCAGCCAGTCACTTGAACAGTGAAACTGCTGGATCGGGCTTGTCTCTTCACTGTCGTGTGGCTTTGCACATGTCTTGTGTCCCTGCCTGGGAGCCAGCCCCAGAGAGACCTGGCTTGGTCTTTCCCATCACCTCCATGGCTGTATAGCAGATCGAAAAACATTTTATTTTCTCACTGAAGCCCTTGATACTTACAGACGACTGCCTTTTTGAAAAAGGCATCTGGCAAACAATGCCCGACTTCGTCTCTCTCGGCCTCCTCAGCGATTCCACAACATTAAACCCGGAGTTATGGAGCCTGTCCGGTCCTGCTGCAGCCTCGCGGGGTCCCATGCCCATGGTTGCCAGGGCCACCAAGCCAAGAGCGCTGAATTTTCCACAACTTTCTGGTTGAGTGTTGGCCAGAAGCAGTTTGTTTAAGAACTGTCACTACCAGAGAGAAAGGGTGGAGGAAGAGGGGTGCATAGGAAGGGCTGGGAAAACACGTGGAGAAGGTCCGGAGGGACCTGCCTGGTCGGCCTCAGGACTGGGGCTCCCTGTGCTGTGGGTGGAGGAACCAGTGTGACCCCCTCCACGGGTGGCCTGTCCCTCTGCAGCCTCCCCCATTTCCGACTCTGCTCCCCAAACCTCCAGTCTATTTTCTCTCCCAGTGGTCCCAGATTCTGGGAGTAGTGCTGCCCGATCCTGTCCAGGCTCTTCTGCCGTGGCTGGGCCGTCTGGGACGGGACCCTACCCCCGGGAGGAGGGAGGGGCTGTTGGGCCAGGGAGATGGCTGTACTGCAGCAAGACGTGCAGAAAACTAGCCTTGCTGGAGAGGGGCGCCCATGCTGGCAGAGAGCAGGGTGGGGGAACCAAGGGGGCCTGCGCGTGGGCTGGGCAGGGCTGGCTGCCAGCCGGGAGACCTCACACCAGCCCAGTCGTGAGATGGATGTGGTCCCGGGCAGACTGTCTGTCCATCGAAATAGGCAAGCATCCGTTTCCACCCAGGTGAACAGAGCTGCCATGTCCAGAGAGCAGCTGCCTGGGATCACAGGTGGACAGAGCAGATTGATTTTGGCCGTGAGGTTTGACCTTGTGTTGCGACAGAGTTCCTGGGGAGCAGGACAGACTGCCCCCATATTGGTGGCCAATAAAGCTGACTCTGCTTTATGGCCCCAGAACCTGCTCTCTAATAGCCAGACAGATGCTTGCCACCTCGAGGGTGAGTAAGCAGCCCAGCTCAACCCAAGGAGCCCCTCCGCCTTCTTCCTTTCTTTTTTCTCCTCTCCTCCCAGACCCGAGTCCAACTTGGTGGTGTGACGCTGGGTGGGGCTGTGATGATGTAACATGACCCGGGCCCTGACTGGAGACCCCATGAGGTTCTGCCATGAAAGCCCCCTGGTTTGGGGACTTCCCCCAGTGGTGAATGTCTGCTCTGCACAGGAGGGCTGTGGCTGGGTGGGGGCTCGGTGGGTTCCTACGTTGCCAAGCCAGTAGAATTTGGGGAACCTTCCCAGCTGCACCAATGAAGCTACCCTCCCTGCCTCCTTTGTTTGGATGGTCCGTGCTCAGCGCTTATGTAGTCAGGACGAGCACCCCGCTCTCCTCTGAAGATGGAGATTTTCATCCTGCAGGGTCCCTGGAGGTGGGAGGGGGTAGCTCTGGGGCCTCTCAGTACCCCAAGGGGTTCGCCTGGTGGTTGCCGACTGTGACAGGCACCACGTGCTCTTGGCTGTCAGAGTCCGGACGTCCCCATGGCCGCTGACTTCCGTCCATGAGTCCTTTCTCCTCTCTCCAGGGGCTGCCCTTCTGAACACTCGGCCTGCATCCTGCAGTCTGTACTTTCTGATAACAGAGGAGCCACGTGCCAACATATTCAACTTTTAACATCCACCAGATTCAATTAATCTTATCTTTACAACTCCCAATTACAGGCGGTAATTAAGTGAAAGCAGCATTGTAGACCCGCGATATTGCATTAATCATCACAGCCTTGGAGCCGTAAATTAGTTCCTTCCCGGCCCTGAGCATCTTCCCAGAAGGGACGGAATGTTTCATTCTGCTGTTTGTGGGGGGTGACATTAATCCCACCAAGATGCCTTGGATTGGGATTAATTTTAATCATCTTTATGTAAGCGATAAAAGGCCGTTTAAAAAAAGAGTCACCTCCTCTCTGTCCAGATAATGGGAAATTCTCTGACGCCAGCAGAATTAAAGGTGCCACAGCCACTGCCTCCAGGGCCCCAAGCATGCTCGGAAATTAATTGTTTTTATCCTGTTGGATAAACAAGACAGCACAGCGTTCACCTCTCCTCCCCTCGCCCCCTTTTATTTTATTAAGAGCAGTGGTAAACCTCTCCATTGGGGTGGGTTCAGCTGGCTGCCATGTCTGGGCGATCTTCAGTGTTCCCTGTGGTCCCCCACTTGGCTTGCTGGGGGGATGCACCCTCACAGGGTCTTGTTCTAGTTCCAGGTGTTACCCGGCTGATTCAGAAGCACAGTCCCCCTACCCCTCCGCACTGCGGCCTTGGGCAGGTCACTCTGTGGGGGTGGGCCATGGAGCAGTATCCCTGCCCCCACCCCCTCGCTGCCAGGAAACCCCCCTCCCCCCAGTGGTGACAACTGGGAATGTCTCAGATGTGGCCTGGTGTCCCCTGGGGGGAGGATCGCTGGCTTGAGAGCCAGTGTCTGGAGTTTCTCCCAACAGGTCTGGAGGCAGATGGTCAGATAACTGCAGTCGGACCCTTTACCATCCTCCCTCCTCCTTCGGACAAAGGACACACCCCACATTTGTTTGAAAATGGAGGTATCCACCTGGCCACACGCTCTCAACTCTGATGTGCCTGCCTTCTCTCGTAGGTATGCCATCCCCCCGGAGCACGGCAAGCGCCTGGAGCGGCTGGCCATCGGTAGGTGCCCGGGGCCCCCTGGGGCTGGGTGGGCCGTGGGCTGGCAGCCCCACCCTCCCTGGCTTCCCGTTGTTGTCTGGGTGTCGGTGTCCCACACTGTGTCCACTTCCTTACCTCTGGGTTAGGCCGTGGGCCCCCCACTGTGGGTCTGTTGCTTGACACAAGCTGCACAAATGTGTGCTTCAACACTCTCGTTTTCCGGACTCTTGGCACGGAGTTTGGGATGTGACCCCAGGCTTTGCAGGCTGGAGGCAGCCAGTGTTCCCCCCCTGCCCCCCGCTCCTGGGGCTCCATCCCGCACTCCTCTGTCTTTGCAGAGCCTTTGCTCAGTCTTGAACAGGAGAAGTTCAGTTCGCACGGCCGAGTGGGGGCCTCGGGGCCGCCTGCCGTCCATGCAGGACTGGATCACCCGGGCTCCCTCAGCAAATGTCACGCTATCTGGATTGAGGCCCTAGCTGGGGCCTCTTGGGCTGACGGGATTTATCAGAGAGGGTCCTGGGCTGTGTCCGGACAGGGGGCCACTGACCACTCAGGCATAGGAAGGCCCTCGGGGCACGAAATCCTTCGAGACAAGCAGACATCCCGGCTGGGAGGCCCTGAGGCTTCTGTGTGCCCCAGTGGAGGGCCAGGCCATGGCTCTGAGTCACTCTCATCATGCCCCTGCCCTGTCCCCACAGAGGCTCTTGTGTCATGAGGGTGGGTGGCTATCAGTGCTGGACGGACAGTAACAGAAGACTGGCCCAGCCATCAGCCCTTGCTCCACAGTCAAGAATGGCCCCTCCTTCACAGACTGCATCCAGGTGGGGGTGAGGGTCTGCCTCTCAGACAGTGCCGGGCCTCTGGCCACCCTGACCTCTGTGGCAGCAGCAGGCAGCTCGTGCCCTCAGGCGGTGGAACCTTCCAAAGCCGTGGCTTGGTGTTTGCGAGGCTCCCTGATGGCCTGCCGCCGGCCTCTGTGCCTCTCCCACCCTGGGGAGCATGTTTCTCCTGGTGGGAACTCCAGGACAGCCAGTCCTGGCAAAGGCCAATTGCACTTACTTCCTAAGATCTAAAGGGAAAGCCAAATTAGATTTTTTTTCCCCATTATCTGACTTTTTAAAATGCCAATTAAAAATGTCTTTTCCTGTTGTATTAGCTTCTGGTTGATGTAACAAATTACCACAAACTCCCAGGGGGCACTAGTGGTAAAGAACCCGCCAACCCGTGCAGGACACATAAGAGACCTGGGTTTGATCCTGGTGGGGAAGGGGAAGAGCCCCTGGAGAAGAAATGGCAACCCACTCCAGTATTCTTGCCTGGAGAATCCCATGGTCAGAGGAGCCTGGCGGACTATAGTCCTTGGTGTCACAAAGAGTTGGACACAACTTAGCACTCACGCATCACAAACTCAGTGACTTAAAACAGCACCAATCCCCTCAATTTTGCTGTGAACCTTAAACTACAGTTTAAAAAAAAGTCCTAATTAAACCCCCACAGTTTTGTGTTCTCACGCTTGTGGAGGTCAGAAGTCTACACCGAGCCTCTTGGGGCCAAGGTCCAGGCATCAGCAGGCTGGCTCCTTCCTGAGGCCCCCTTGGTGGAGTAGGGTGGGGCAGAACCCAATTTCTGGTTTCTCTGACTTCTGGAGGCATCCCGTCCTGGACTCGGGGCCACGTTGCTCTCATTCTGTCTCCCTGGCCCATGGCTTCCGCTGCTATGGTTGGGTCTCCCCTGCCCCTGTCTTAGAAGGACCTTCAGGATGTCACAGGCCCCCACAGGGGTCCAGGCCCATCTTATCTCAGGGGCCTGCACTTGATCCCATCTTCAGAGCCCCTTTCTCCAGGGAGGGGACCTTACACAGGCTGTGGGGATCGGGGTATGGATGTCTTGGGGGAACCACAGTTCAGCCCCCCACCTGCAGAGCCAGGAACATTAGCACAGGTGCTATCTCTCTGGGGACCCTGGGCCTTGTCTTCAGCATCTCTGCTCTTGCTGTTTGGTGGGGGACCGAGGGTGTTTGGCCTTCCCTGGTGGCTCAGACGGTAAAGTGTCTGCCTACAATGTGGGAGACCTGGGTTCAATTCCTGGGTTGGGAAGATCTCCTGGAGAAGGAAATGGCAACCCACTCCAGTATTCTTGCCTGGAAAATCCCATGGATGGAGAAGCCTGGTAGGCTGCATACAGTCCATGGGGTCACAAAGAGTCAGACATGACTCAGCAACTTCACTTTCACTTTCAAGGGTGTTTGCAGCTAGCCACGCCCGGCTGCTCTCCCTCAATGTGCCTTCTCTACTAGAAAAGTGCGGGGTCATCAGAGCACCAACTAGAGAAGCTGGAGGCGGCCGGAACTACTGCCGGGGCCTTTCTGACGCCCGGACCTGGATGCTGGCTTGCTGTCTGGGCATCTGTGGAGGGCTTGGTTCGGTGGCCGGGGTTGGGAGAGGATGGGTGGGTGGGCAAGCAGGAACATGGCCCTTGTGAAGTCAGGCTGCACCTGGAATTCAGGGAAGGGGCCAACAGCTCTGGAGGAGGGGTGGGGGATCTCATGGTTCCTCCACAGCCTCTCACTCGGGCTGCTCTCCCCTCCTCAGAGGAAGGACTGAGGAGACTCCAGGGCTGGTGACTCACTGCCCTCCTGGGCGTCCCTTCCAAACTTTTTGGGGGCGTGCCTCCCGGGTGGCTTTGTTGAGATGGGTGGAAGGGGGTTGCAGTTAATATGGAAAATGAATAGCTGCGCTCTGAATGGGCTCGCTGGGAGGGTTGTGCAGCCCACGGGGAGAGAGTTAATGTGTTGGCGCATTATTGGTGCTAATCACTTAAAATGTGCACCTTTATTAGAGCTTTAATGAGAGCCACTTAAACTGTGCATTAAAAAGAGGAACTGCAGAGAGGCCGGCGGGCCAGGCGGCAGGCAGCCGTAACTCTAATGGAAATGCTTTTAGTGCAGAGCAGAGTGTGGGATTCGGCTGTCCTGGCTCTTTCCAAAACCTCCACACTGGGTCCTTGCTGTCAGGAGCCTCCTCCAGCCTCAGTGTGTGGGTGGGGCCATGTGTGCACACAGACACACGCACACGCGCACGTGCACACACACGTGCACACACACACACATGCACACATGCACATGCACACACGCACGTGCGCATCCAGGGTGTGCTCTGGCTGGTCTCACTGGAAGGGCTCCGGGGCCCCCCGGGCCTGGGGGTCAGCCCTGGAGGGAGGTGGACACTTGGGGGTGCACGCCACTGCCTTGGGGACATGTCCCACACCTTGAGGAGCCATGCAGCCCTGCTGTGCCCACTCTGTGTGGTTTGGGGTGAGAAGCTCAGCCACTGTGGGCAGATCCTGAGGTTGACTTTTCCTTAACCACACGACTAGCCTGTTAGTGACTTGAATTTCAGCCAACATGTGATGTGGGAACAGTGCTGAGCTGTGCTGGTGAAGCCTGCTGTCTGGGTCTAGGTATCTGGGCCTCCCGTGGACTCGTGGATCATCTTTTAAATTAGCTACATGGTGCATTCTGAGGCAGAAAGCAGAGGAGCTGTGAGCACAGATAGAGGCGCAGGCCTGGGTCTCCCACCCTGCCCCCATGTCCTGTGGGTCTGGGCCGAGGGTAGGTGGGTCATGGGACCATGTGGGTAGAGAGCCCTCGCCCACTCAGGCAGCCCCCCTCTTTGCTGTGGATGTGGTCAGTGTGTGGGGGGGATGGAGGCCCCACTCACTCCTCACCCCCACAGCGCGTCAGGCTCTAGAGAGCAGCTCCTCTGTCCTGTCTCCCGGCTCCCTCTCACGTGGCCGAGTGACCGTGTGGAGGCCCCTGAGGGGAGCTCAGAGTCAGGGGCAGTCTGTGGGCAGCCGTGCCCCCACCGCACACCTTGTCTGTAGTCACAAATGTGGTGCTGTGCGTGGGTACACTGCGCCTGGCGGGCCCCTGGGTGTTTCGTTCCTGCGGGGCCACAGGAGGACAGGGCCGCCTGGCCACCCCGCCCCATCCGGCTGACACTGTCTCGTCTGCTCCAGGCTTCTTCCCCGGAAGCTCCCAGGGCTGCGATGCCTTCCTTCGGCACAAGATGACCCTCATCTCGCCCATTATCCTCAAGAAGTACGGGATCCCGTTCAGCCGGGTATGTAGGGGCGGGTATGTAGCCTGTCGGTGGACGGGCTTCTGGGCTTGGGCCCTGCTGACCATGAGCGCCCCAGAAAACTGGCGTCTTCATGCTGGAGAAGGTTCTAGAAGGACCACAGGCTAGGATCTGGCTGCACTCCTGGGCCGTCAGCTCTTCCACAGTGGTGGTGAGGGTGGAGGTGGGTATCAGGAGGGGCTTCCCTCCCTGTTCCTCCCAACCCAGACCCTAATATCTGCTGGTCCTGGGGTCGGACTGGGGAGTGGATGGTGGGGGCAGCTCCTGACCACCCTGCAGGAGGTGCTGAGGAGCTGGGCCCCCCTTTGTGGGAGCCCCCTGCCTACCCCACCCATGCCCAGGGCAGACGGCCTCACTCCAGAGGGAGTGAATACCTGTTTAGAAATGAAGCGTCTGACTTGTCCGCAGCATGAAAGCTGTGATCTCATGCAGTTTCCTGTAAGGTGTCCACATGGGGCTGTGAGGGGTGAGGCCACAATGGGGGCTAAGTTGGCAGGGACCCCACCACCTGGGAGAGTGGGATGGGCAGCAGGGACTGAGCTCTGGGGCTGGGCGCCTCTGTCCCGAGAGTGGGCCCAGTCGTTGTCACGCCAGGCCAGCCCCTCCCTACAGACAAGCCTCCTGGACACGAGGATCCAGGTGAATGGCCCATGCCTGGAACTTTCTGGAAGGCATGTGGGCCATGGCCCCGAGGGCAGAGGCAGCCCAGCTCCTGCAGGTCTCCCCAGAGAGTGATCTGTCAGGCACAGAGCGAGCTTTGTGAGCAGACTTCCATGCCTGCCTCTGGCCCCAGGTGTCAGCAAGTTGAAAACTGGCTCTGATGTTTTCAGGCACACAGCTGCAGCATCACCATGCGGATGGGGGTGTGGCCTCTCCTGCCAGGGCCACTCCCACCACTCCTGCTCTTTAGGTAGCGGCTGTCCCTGTTCTCTCTGCCCCCTCTGTCTTCTGGTTGGAACATTGTTCGTTACCAGGAACCTTGCAGACAGATAACAGCATTGCTCACGGGACTGAGAGGTCCTTGTTTCCCATCGCTTTGTCAAGAGCATTCTCCACAGCCCTGCATCCTGGAGAGGGATGCAGGTCGTGGGAGTCAGCTGGTGGTCACTGTCCATCCTCCCAGGCCGGTGCTGTGTGGTCCTGCGGCTCATATGTGCAATATCTGAGCACGACCCACAGGCAGTGGCCTCCCACTGGTGACCCTGCTGGTGACCCAGGTGAGGCTGGGCTCCGTGGCCATACCGGCTCCCACAGGGGCCAGGACAGAGTTTCACTCTGAGGCTGTGGGACACAGGCCCTTGTCTGGCAGCGGAGAGCCCTCCATGGGCTGCAGGCCTGGGGACCAGGCTTCAGGCCCCGCAGAGTCAGAGATGGACGCCTCTCTTAGGGCTCCACATGTAGCCCCTCATCTGAATTCCTGGTAGAAGAGTCACTCCACACTCCACTTATAAATCTTCGTAATGGTATTTACTTCTGGAAGAAAAAGCAGATCAATAGTGGAGCTTTTTAATAATTAAAAGTGTGTGTTTCTGTGATCTGCCACAGACTTCCTCATTCATTCTTCGAGAGCTCCAGGGGCAGCCGAGCTCCAGGCTTCCTCTGTGACTGGCGTGTGGGGCCCATGCTCCCTCCTCTCCCAACTGCTCTGCCTCAAGGCTGATCCATCATCCCCGATGCCTTCTAATTTATTGTCGGGCTAATGTTGATGGCAGCGACATGGAGGACAGCCTCCGTGGGCCCGAGGTGGAGCCACCGAGATGTAGATTTTCTGAAGGGAACATAATCTTCTTGTCATTCCAAATAAGCACACCTTCCCTTCTGGGTCTTGATTTATGGGAGGGGTCTGGCGGGGGGCTTCGGCTTGGTGACAGGGACCCCGCTGCCTCCCCGAGGCTCTAGCAGACCAGCTGTGCTCAGAGGCATCGGAGGAAGAGTGAGACAGCACTCTCTAGGATCAGCTCAAGTAGGATGAGAAAATCAGTAACTGGGTTTAACAGACCATCCCCAAACCCGAGTTTATTTACCGTTTCATGAGCTCCTGAGTCCTGCGACAGAAGCCGACCCAGGGGGCCCTGTCTGAGGACCAAGGATGCTGGCCACTGGTCCTGGGGACGCTGCCCATCCCCACCTACCCCTCTCCTACCGTCACTTCATCCCTGCACACAGCTGTCAGTTGGACTGGAATTTAAAAATATAACTTAATGCACAGTGACTTCCCTTGATTGGTGCAATTCATTATTTGAAAAGAAAAATATCAGCGTGTTCTTAAGGACTGGCTTTCCTCCAGGCTACATCAGTTTTGATTGATTTTTGACTCTGTGGTTGGTTTCTGGACGTCTCACCCCCCACCACCTCCCGCCGCTCCCCTTCCCCTGCCAAGGTTTGACTCCTCGTCAGTTCCTTAGATAAATCCAGCGATTTCTACTCATCCCTCTGGGGTTATTAGCAGGGCACAGAACCATAGACAGTGACAAAGCAGTGAACGGCCTCTAAGTGGGGCAGGAGAATTGAACAGACACACTTGGCAAAAGGAGGCACGCACCTGCAACGGCAGATCCAGAAACACCAGGACCAGATGTGGTGGGTGGCACCTGCCAACCTGGGGGCAGGGCTGGAGCCTTGTACCCCCTACCTGGGCCGCGAACACCCCTGACACTGCCGAGGGGGCGGGGGGATCTCATCCTCACTGCCACGTTGGTGCAGAATGGCAGCTGCTGTGGAAAGCCGCCGGGCAGTTTCCTGGGGCCCCTGGCACCCCTGCCCCCATGTCTGTTTACTCTGGAGAAACACCAGCACCATCTGGAGAAGTGGTTCTACTGGCCCCGCCGCTCTGCTCGTTGCATCCCGACCAGGGAACAGCCTCAGGCCTGTCAGCAGGAGGCCAGATGAGCAAGTAGGACACGTCCGCGTGACAGGAGGCCCTGTAGGAACAAAAAGGAGTCAGTGGAGTGCCCACTGGGACAGATAAACCCTGAGGATGTGCCAAGCGGAAGAGGCCAGACCCAGAGCAGAGATGGTGTGGTCAGTGTCCGTGAAACCCTAGAGAGATGAGGAGGATGGGATGGGGGCGCATTTGGGGCCACAGTCCCTGGAACTCCAGACAAGCTGATCTTTGCTCCCAGCTCAATCCAGGAAATGATGGCCCTCCCGACCCCAGAGGTCACTCCTGCACATGGCCTCCGTTCCAGCAGCCACGCCTTGCATCGCAGGACACCGTGAGCGGGCATGCTGGCTGCTATTACTTCTCATCTCTTTCAAAACAGTCTACTGTTGGAATGACTGCTGATGGCTGGGGGTGGTCAGTGGGGAGGAGGCTGCAGCCCCCACCTTCTCCTCCAAGCCTCAGGGTGACAGTACTGGATGCCTCTGTGTGTTATCATCATCCCCCATCCCTCAAGCCCAGCTCCTGGGTTTGGCGTCTTTGATGCAGAGGCCAGACCAGAGTCTGGCTGTCCAGACCATTTTGAATATGCCTAGAAATATCAGCTCCGCCTGTGAGGTCTGACCTTGACATGTGTCCTCCTAGCCTGCCGATACGTCACTTCAGTTGCTCTACCCTCACTTGGAAGGACCCATGTCTTTGGATCTAGTGGATAGGCTCCCTGCTCACAGTGGTGGGGTGACTCAGGCCAGCATCTGGGGCCGTTTCATGGGTGGGCCTACTCCTTCCTCACACGAGGACTGGACACCGTGATGTAGGCTCACACCTGTCCTGAGCTCCCAGGGCTCTGAGCTTCCCCAGAGCTGACCAGCCCACCTTGCCAGCCCTGGTGCCGTGTGGGGACATCTCAACAGTGGACAGGAGGTGTGATAGCCACCTGCCTCTGAAGCAGAAGCTGCCCCCCGCCCCAAACAGAAAGCACCTAGAATCCTAGTGCTGCAACTCACCTGTCTGAGAGTCCAGACTGTCCCCTTGGGCCCGGTGGGGCCTCTGTGAGCGGTGGGGCTGGTAGCAGCTACTCCAGCCACTTGCCTCACCTGCTCTTCTAGCCCCATGAGAACCAGGCTGCAGCCTGTAGAACCTGGCCTTTTACCTGTCTGACTCCTTGGCTCCTGAAGTCAGGTCCCCGCACTTGGTGGGACGTCCTGGAGCCCACACCCCCCTGCTGGGCCCCTCGGTGGCTTCTGGTGGCTTTGCTGCCAGCCTGTGATGACCCATGTCGGGCATTTCTTCCAGTCGGGCCTCATCCCTCACCTGTCATCCCTTCCTCCTCAGATCACACAGGAGGCGGGGGAATTCATGATCACGTTCCCCTACGGCTACCATGCTGGCTTCAACCACGGATTCAACTGCGCCGAGTCCACCAACTTTGCCACACTGCGGTGGATCGATTATGGCAAGGTGGCCACCCAGGTGAGTGAGCACTAGCCCCCCACCTGCTCCCCCAGCCCAGGGCCTAGGTGACAGCCGCTTATATTCAGCCTGGGGCTCAGACTCAACATCAGGGTCTGTTTCTGGATCCTCAGCAAACTTGTCCTCAGCTCATTGCTCACTTGGAGGCAGGTCAGGTGTGTGCAGCAGCCGGGGCCTGGCCAGGCCTGGCTCAGGGCTCCCTCTGTCCTGGCAAGCCCAGGTGCGCTCCCACCATCTGGGGGCCAGAGGAGATTTGTTCCTTGTTAGTTGACTCTTGCGGGGCCTCTTGGTCAGGTGCGGGGTTTGCTCCGGCCCCAGAGCCTGTCTTTACAGGCTCTGCAGTGTGTGTGCACGAGTATGTGTGTGCGTGCACGTGCAGGAGAGCAGAGCCCTGGCAGGGCAGGCCGTGTGCTCGAGCCCAAGGGCGGCTTCCTGCTGCCTCGTTATCCACAGTGGTCACTCAGAGCCCAGAAGACTCATTTGTGTTCCACGGTAATTTGCCGACCTGCTCCCAGAGGGACGATAATCAGCCTGCAGACCTGACACTTGAACTGAGTGCTTGTTCTCAACTCCTTTTTCCCGTGCACGCACCCATCCGTGGTTCTGATGGGCAGCTCAGTGGGGTCCCACAGGCTGGTAGCTCGAGGTCCCACAGTGGCGTGTCCGGGGAGCAGCTGGATAGTGGGCAGGTCCCTGGGAAGGGGAGGCCGCTAGGAGGGCTGTTGGCCATGCAGCAGGCCCAGCCCTTCCTTGGCAGCTGGGGCCAGTGACCTTCCTCCCAGGATTGGCACCATGACCACCCTGAGGAAGCCAGTGAGCTCTACCCATCTGTCTGGGGTCTGGCCGAGTGGCCCCGGCTCTCAGGCTTCAGCTGCTATAATCTTTTCTCTCCAGCGTAGAAAGGGGCCCAGCCATGCACACGTCTCACTCTGGTGCTGAGCACAAGGAACAGGAGAGGCCCCTCCTGCGTGGGCCTTTTCCGTGAAATTGGGGTGCCTCCTATCAGCCTCCTCAGCAGAGCCCTGGGGGTCTTCCATGAAATCACTCAGCTGTTGGGGGCTAGGGTTAGGGAGCATGGTGGGTTTCTCCCAGACACGGAAGTGGGGGCGGTGTGGACCAGGAGAACCCCGAGCCCAGATTCTGGTTTGGTCAGCCCACGCGTGACCCCAGATCTTTGGAGAAGAGGGTCTAGGCTGTGACGATTGGGCATCATGGCCTGGCGATATGGCCCCATGGGGAGGGAAATTGGCATCCAGGTGCAGCATGTGGCAAAGAGCAGGAAGGCCCAGACTGAGGGTTCTCAGGGTGCTCACAGACTGGAACTTGGAAGTAGACAGGGTTAAATGAGATCCATTCTGAAAGGGAATGAGAGCAGAGCCCTGGCAGGGCAGGCCGTGTGCTCGAGCCCAAGGGCGGCTTCCTGCTGCCTCGTTATCCACAGTGGTCACTCAGAGCCCAGAAGACTCATTTGTGTTCCATGGTAATTTGCCGACCTGCTCCCAGAGGGACGATAATCAGCCTGCAGACCTGACACTTGAACTGAGTGCTTGTTCTCAACTCCTTTTTCCCGTGCACGCACCCATCCGTGGTTCTGATGGGCAGCTCAGTGGGGTCCCACAGGCTGGTAGCTCGAGGTCCCACAGTGGCGTGTCCGGGGAGCAGCTGGATAGTGGGCAGGTCCCTGGGAAGGGGAGGCCGCTAGGAGGGCTGTTGGCCATGCAGCAGGCCCAGCCCTTCCTTGGCAGCTGGGGCCAGTGACCTTCCTCCCAGGATTGGCACCATGACCACCCTGAGGAAGCCAGTGAGCTCTACCCATCTGTCTGGGGTCTGGCCGAGTGGCCCCGGCTCTCAGGCTTCAGCTGCTATAATCTTTTCTCTCCAGCGTAGAAAGGGGCCCAGCCATGCACACGTCTCACTCTGGTGCTGAGCACAAGGAACAGGGGAGGCCCCTCCTGCGTGGGCCTTTTCCGTGAAATTGGGGTGCCTCCTATCAGCCTCCTCAGCAGAGCCCTGGGTGTCTTCCATGAAATCACTCAGCTGTTGGGGGCTAGGGTTAGGGAGCATTGTGGGTTTCTCCCAGACACGGAAGTGGGGGCGGTGTGGACCAGGAGAACCCCGAGCCCAGATTCTGGTTTGGTCAGCCCACGCGTGACCCCAGATCTTTGGAGAAGAGGGTCTAGGCTGTGACGATTGGGCATCATGGCCTGGCGATATGGCCCCATGGGGAGGGAAATTGGCATCCAGGTGCAGCATGTGGCAAAGAGCAGGAAGGCCCAGACTGAGGGTTCTCAGGGTGCTCACAGACTGGAACTTGGAAGTAGACAGGGTTAAATGAGATCCATTCTGAAAGGGAAGAGCTCCTGTTTCATTTCATGTTTGAGTGGGGTGAAAGATTGTATGTGCTTAGTCGCTCAGTAGTGCCCAACTCTGCAACCCCATGGGCTATAGCCTTCCAGGCTCCTCTGTCCATGGGATTCTCCAGGCAAGAAACCTGGAGTGGGTTGCCATTTTCTCCTCCAGGGGATCTTCCCAACCCAGGGTCAAACCTGCATCTCCTGTGTCTCCTGCATTGCAGGTGGATTCTTTACCTGCTGAACTATTGGGGAAGAGGGTGAAAGACTAAGAAAATTAAGCTCTGGGGGTGGCTTTGTGGCACATCTCCGCTACACAGCGCAGTCTAGACGGGTTGGCGGTCTAGACGGGTTGGCTCATCTCTGTTTTTCTAATGATCTCTCTAACTTTGCTGTGTCAGTGCAGTTGAGAAAAGGAAACAGGCTTTGCAGCCAGGAAGACTGGAGAGGCACCCCGGGATGTGAAGCGTTGGGCTTTTAGACTTAATTCAGAAAATCATGAGAGTGTCTTTGGCAGAGAGTCCAACTTGGCTAAAAGAGGAGAAATGGGGACGTCAGGATTGTCCGCTTAGATCCAGAGGAATAATTACATCTCCCGGGGCGTGTTTGCGTTGTTGCCGAGAGTTCCACGTGTGTGGGTCCGCGTGGCTGCAGCGGGCACTGGATTGAGTTGTCAGTCCGTCGGGGGCTTGTCCTGGAGGCCCTGCTGGAGCCAATCCTGCTGTGGAGCCAGTGGGGACCGCCCGGATATTAAAAGCAATTTTGGGTTCAGCCATGTGTTCACAAACAAGTGACATCTGGGAGGTGCTGCCTGAGATGGGGCGCCGCGCTTACATTGCCGGGCGGCGTAGCGTGAAATTACTGAACCAGTCAGTGTGGTGCTCTGAGCCGGGCCGGGGTTCCAAGGGCCTGGCAGCTGGGGTAGGGCCCCGCAGGAGTGGCCACTGGCCCTGGTGTGCCTATCCATGGCCGTCTGGTCGGCTCCTGGGCTGTTCACTGGTGACCCTCCGAGCTCTGCTGCCCTGTAACTAGTCTGGGCTGGAGAGGCTGCCTGGGCGCTTGGCCTCGCAGATGACAAGCTGAGGTATCAGGGGCAGGGGACTGTCAGGTTCCGTGGTGCTAGGGCTGTGGATTTAAGGGAGGGAGTGGGTGGGGCAGAGGGGCATTCAGAGCCCGCTTCCCACTGAGCTGGGGCCTCTCCCTGCAGCCTGAATGCCTGCCTGCCTTCCAATCTGTGTCCCCTTCTAGCACATTCCTCTGACACAGCCCAGGGGGAGAATGTCTACTTTCCAGGCTCTAGAGACCCTTTTACTTGCTGGTTCATTAGCTTCTCAGGTGCCCAGTGAACACCCCCACTCCCTCCATCGACCCATTTCTGTCATTCTCTCTGTTGACACTTGAAATGCTAAATGCCCAGGCTCGCCAGCCTGTGTGAATTTCAGGTATGCCTGCTCTTTCTTCCCGATCAGGGTCAGCAAACGGGGCCCGCAGATGAAACCTGGCTGGTTGACTGTTTCTGGTACTGTCTGCAAACAGAGCCTTGCTTAGATGTCTTTGTTCTTCTGGCCATGTCATGTGGCGTACGGGATCTTAGTTTCCCAAACCAGGGATTGAACCTGAGCCCCCTGCAGTGGAAGCTCAGAGTCTCAACCACTGAACTGCCAGGGAAGTGCCGAGTGTTAGGTTTTTAAAGAGCTGGGGGGAAAAAATCAAAAGAAGTTATATGTGATACATGGCAACTAGATGAAACTCACATTTCACATTGATAAAGTTTTTTAAATTAATTTATGTGTTTGGCTGTGCTAGGTCTTAGTTGCAGGATGTTCCCTGACTGGGGATTGAACCCAGGCCCCCTGCCTTGGGGGCTCAGAATCTCAACCACTGGACCACCAGGGACGTACTGATAAATAGAGTTTTATTGGCACAGGCTCACCCGTTCATTGACATGCTGTGCAGGGGCTGCTTGCATTTGGGTGTGGAGCTGAGTAGTTGTAACAGGCCATCTCACCTGCAAAGTAGAAAATATTTGCTGTTGGCTCTTGTCAGGAGTTTGCGGTTCCTGGTCTAAAGAATCGATTTTGTGGACACCCTGGCTCCAGTCAGTCAGGGCTGAAGGGTCCCCCTCACTCTTTCCTCCACAGCCCCCAGGGTCTGTGGCATCAGAGGGGCTGTTCCCTCCAGCACGTTGGCCCCCAGCTGCTGCCTCACTGATTTTAACCAAGGAAAATTTATACCCATGATTGGGGGATTGGGTGGACTATGGAATATTATGCAGTCACAAAAATAGGTTCACTGTTTACTGACGTGGAAAAATGGGAATGGCATTTTGGGTGGAAAAACTAGGTTTTGGATCATGAATGTGTAATCCCATTGTGTGTGTGTTGAGGGGAGGGGGATTTACCAAATGTTGATCGATGTTAGCTCCATGGGGTAGAATTTGAGGACTCAGCAGGCCTGAGATCAGAGCCAGCAGTGGCCAGTCCTGCCTCAGGTCACATGCTGCTGCTTTGGTTTTGAGCTATCCCTTTCCCTTGACCTCCTCCTCAAGCTCCGCAACCCCCCTCCTGCAGCCCCGTCTCTCTCTCCAGCTTTCCTGATGGATCTTGTCTGCATCAAGCTCTGACTCTGGGCCTCATGACTGGGCCTGCCGGCGTTCCAGAAGACACCTCCCTCACCTCCGTTGTCTCCCAGGCTGGCTGCCCGCTTCAGGCAGGTGTCCAGGGCTTGCCTGGGGCTGCAGGGGCCTCCTGCACAGGCCTATGCTCCATTTCCAAGAACAGAATTCCCCAGGCAGGCGTTGTAGTGGGATTACCAACTGGGAAGATGAGAGGGCCGCTCCATCTTCACTGCAGAAAATGAAGTGTGCACACATCAGCCTTTTAGGTCTGAGCTCAAATTAGTCCTACAAGGCTGCACGCCACGTTGGATTAGCTGTGCGGCCTCGTTGCTCCCGCGGTGGGTGGCACTGGGTGAAGCCTGACAAGGGCCTCCTGCCTCCACCGGGGCGCCCCACAAGGCGCAGGAGTTGACTTCGGATTAAACAGAGCAAGAGAGATTTAGAACCCAGCTTGAACGCTGGGAGCCCCGCATGCTTAGCTGGTTTTCCGCCTGTTGTCTGGGCTGCTGCCTGGCAGCGCTCAGTCTCCGGACAAGTCTGCTCCTCGGCAAGGTGTCTGCTGAATGTGGAGGGTGGGAATACCTGGCCCCCACATCCCCCCACTTCTGGATCTGGATTGGGGGGCTTCCCCTGAAACCTCTCACCCGGGCTACCTCGAACTTCACTGTTGTGAAATGTGAACCAAATTGTCCCTGCTGCTCTGAGGACGCCTGCCTTCTGTTTGGTGACACTGCGCCTGCTCTGGGTGATTAACCCAGAGCCCTCCCCATGAGGGGAGGTGACAGAATAGGGGGAGGTGGGGGCGGGCAGAGGAAGGCCTAGGACAGAGCCATGTCTGTCCCACCTAGACAGACGGATGCTTCTCTGGCCCACCCACATCGAGGTGCCGGCCTGGACACCACCGCGCCTCCCTGGCTCCCTGATTTATGGAGCTCTGGTGGCCAGTGCTCAGGATTTGCGGTCAATTGCCGTATAAAATAAGCTTCCCTCCCCCGAGCCTCCCCCAGGCTTCCTGTCACTCTGTCCCTGCAGCAGCTTGAATCCGTCCCGCCATATCCAGCCCTGGGAACTCAGGATGCACACGGCAGTGTGGGGAGGGAGGGAGCGGAGAGGAACGCACGGCGCCCCCTTCTGCTTCCCCGCTCACTTTGGCTTTGGCTTTAACTCTGACCATTTAGAACAGATCCGGCCTGATTTGGAAGGAGGGGTCTCAGGCAGAGTCTCCCTGTGTCACTGTGACCTTGGATGGGCAGTGGGGGCTTGGGGGGAGCTCCCTCCTCCCCTCGGTCGTGACCTGGTGTCCCCTGGACAGGGGTGAGAGCCTGGTCTGGAGGAAGGGTCGGGGGCAGTTGTTGCGCCATCTTTTCCATTGTCACCACCCCGTCCCCACAGACCACTTGGACCCCACGTTGGGTACACCCCATGTCTTTTCAGAGAGGGAAGCCTTTCTGTCCCTGAGAAGGATTCTTCTCCCCTGGGGACTGTGTGCCCCCATGAAGACACCCCCAAGGACGGGTCTGGGGAGCAGCCTTGGAGGCAGAGAGAGACACCCCCACCAGCTCATATGCAGACAGGACTTCCACCAGCCTGGGGTTCAGAGCCCACCTGTCATCCCTGCCTCACTCCCTGCTACTCTGTCTGGGGGGCTGGTGGGGGACATACATGCCCCAAGTCCCTCCAAGACAGCCTTGCAGCTGAGAAGCCTTCTCTTTGTCTTCTCAGGAGGTCAGAGTCATTGCAAAGAATCACAAATGCATTGTAGCTGCAGCCCCTCACCCAGGGAGCACACCAGTCTGTTGCGTCCCCTCTGCCCCCCCGGCCTGTGTTCATTCAGGCGCCCGTCAGCCCAGAACCCCCTCCCCCACCCCTGTTGTCTTCCTTTCCTGTCCGCTGCCCCCCACTTCCTGCCCAGCCGCCTGGGGTTGTCGCCTGGGTTACAGGCAGCTGTGTTCAGGCTCCCCACTCAGAGGGTGGCCCTAGAGACACTCTGCCCTTGCGCTGGTCTCTCTGGGGGCTGCCCGCTCCTCACTGTGCCGCTTCAGCCGGCTGTTCCCCTGGTGGGTTGCCAGCACTGGGTGGTCCCCACGAGCAAGCACACGACCACACGGCTCTGGCCTGGGTGCTGGCCGCTGCAGGCTTGCTCACCTCACTGGGCCTGCTGCCCCTCATCCTTGTGGCTTTGCTGCGTTTTCCCACGAGAACTGGGACCAGAGTTTTGGCACTGTGAATCGTGGGACTGCACCATCTGTGGGCTGTCGCTGCCCTCTCCCCACCCACTCAGCACCAGGAGCCCCCCAGTGTGACAACCACAGGCGTCCCAGATATCGCCCAGTGTCCCCTAGGGCAATTGGATCCCCCGTGTGAGAGCCCTGGGCCAGCAGGGCTTCTCAGGGGGACATCTTTGCCCTCTAGAGGTATCTAGCCTGTGTTGCCCAGAGATGTTGCCAGAGGGTCTGATCTGGGGGAAGTGGCCGCGTCTGACCCAGGGAAGGCGTGAAGGCTTTTCTTAGGTCAGGCTGTGGTCTGGGTCAGGGGATTTCATGGGCACACCAGCACCTGGACCTTTCTACTGTCCTGCTGTGGACAGAATTTGGTTTTTGGCCGTGGTCAACACTGTGACTTGGGATGGCGGGGTTTCTACAGAGGGCAGATGGGCTGGCTCCCCTTGGAGCCTGGAGAACAAAGGGAGACTAGTCCACCAGGTGTCCCGGTCACCAGAGGGGTGGTGGGTGAAGGGCTGCAGTGAGAGGAGAGCTGAGGGGCTAGTGGGTCCTCAGGAAGAACACCATTGGGGAGCATGGCCCAGAGCACCCGGTTTATTAGCATCTGGGTAGAGGGGGAGGAAGGAAAGCTATGACAAACCTAGACAGCATATTAAAAAGCAGAGACATTCCTTTGCCAACAAAGGCCCGTCTAGTCAAAGTTATGGTTTTTCCAGTAGTTGTGTATGGATGTGAGAATTGGACCATAGAAAAAAATGAGCACCAAAGAACTGATGCTTTTGAACTGTGGTGCTGGAGAAGACTCTTGAGAGTCCCTTGGACTGCAAGGAAATCAAAACAGTCAATCCTAAAGGAAATCAGTCCTGAATATTCATTGGAAGATCTGATGTTGAAGCTGAAGCTCCAATACTTTGACCACCTGATGTGAAGAGCTGACTCACTAAAAAAGATCCTGATACTGGGAAAGACTGAAAGCAGGAGAAGGGGATGACAGATGACGAGATGGTTGTATGGCATCACTGACTCCACGGACGTGAGTTTGAGCAACCTCTGGGAGTTGGTGATGGACAGGGAAGCTTGGCATGCTGCAGTCCATGGGGTTGCAAAGAGTTGGACACGACTGAGTGACTGAACTAAATTGAGAAGGGGAGAGGTCCGGGGACCCTCACAGGAGGACCAGTTCAGCTGCCGGGCTGCAGCCACAGTGCTAGGCGGATGAGGCTTCTCTGTGTAGAGGAGGAAAGAGAGTGACCTTGGGGTGGGGGTAGCATCCTGGGGGTCAAAGTTTCGATCTGTGACCTTGCCCAGCCCCCAGGAAGCAGCCTCCCCAGCGAAGGATGGACGTGGGAGCCCTGGGAGCCCTGCACCTAATGGTTTTGTTTATGAAGCGCTTCCGAGGGCTTCCAGTGGATTTCCTAATGAACTGGTTTGTTATTGCGTCTCCTGCTGCAGCGTGCGGGTGATTACATCAGAAACGGGGGGCCAGGCTGCGAGCTGGCCTGGCAGATGCGGGCTCCTCAGCGGGGGATCTTCCCTGTCCCTGGGTGTTTAACGCTTTGTGGGCAGACGTGCCCCTTGCCCCCACCCCGGGATTGTTCCCTGGGAAGCATGTGTGCTGCTCCCCGTCTGCATCTGCTCAGCAGCAGTCACCCTGCAAATGCCGGGAGACAGGAAGAAGCTGCACAGAGGGGGACACGGCGGAGGACAGGCCACCTGGGGTGCTCAGACTCCGGGAGACCACAGAAGGCACGATGTGGGGGACAGGCAGCATCAGCCAGCGGGGGCTTCTGGAGGAGGGAAGGTTCAAGACCTGGCCCTGTCACACCTGCATCTCAGACTTCTGGCCTCCAGGGCTGGGCGGGAGCAACATCCTGTGGCTTTCGGGCCCTCTCCCCTGTCGATGGCACTCTGTGACATGAATACGCCAGAGTCTTGAACGCTTCCATCCACCAGAGGAGCAGGGATGTGACCCGAGTCCTCTGTGGATGCTGCCGGCCCTGCTCAGACTGGAGCAGGGCTTCTCCAACAAGGGGTGGAGGGCTGGTCACCCCCAGCACAGATGCTGCAGGGTGTGTGCGTTCCTAGGGGTCAGGTTCCAGTGGGCCCCCAGCTCCCTAGCTGCTGGCCCCTGGTGGAGGGGGTGGGGCAGGTGCCCCGCATGAACTTTTTGTAGGGGTACAGTGACTTTTTACGGAGTGCCCCCGGGGTCCTTCCCGCCCACTTCCTATGGCACAGAGGGGTCTCACCCTCAGTGGGGGAGCTCCAGCTTCCTGCCCCTGCTGCAGCCCCAGACCCCATCCTCTGCCTCCGCGAGGTGGGGCATTTGTGTACCTGGAGTCGGGGGGTGACTGTGATTATTAGTGACTGCCCAGGTTCCTCTCCCTTGCGATGCCTCCTGTAGCTGAGAGGCCGAGGGGACCCTGAACTGAGGGCCGACATCCTGAGGTGGGGAGGGCCGTAGGGATGTGAGGGGGGGTTTTCTATCAGAATTGGAGCTTTGAAGACTGTGGACTGAACACGTGGGGTAAAGAAAGTAGAACGGAAAGGAAAAAGCAGGTCACATCCGTCAGAAGACAAGGAGATGGTTGCCGTTAGCAAAGAGTCCGCCGAGTGAGGGAAGTTAATAGTCACCGTGGACAGGACTGTGTTAACTCAGTGCCTGTGGGTTCTGAACCACGTGGCAGGAGACTGGAGACGGCCTGATGCCCACGTGCAGGTGGGCCGTCCATCCAGGCACCGAAACACTGTGCACCCGGAGAGGAATGAGGGGCTGGTTATGTGCTCTATTCCGGGGGGAGGCACGTGGGAATGGTGATGGCCGGGTCTTCTCTGGGATGACCGGATGCCTCTGTCCTGTGTGGGGATGCAGGGTATACCCTGGAAGGAGGATGTGGGAAGTGCGGGGGTGGGGATGGAGTGGGGTGGGGGAGCGGAGTGGGGCTGAGTGTCTGCTGCCCACTGTTCTTCAGACTCTGTACCCTGCGAGGGGCTGGCTGTTCCCCAAGTCTGTC